TTAAGTTTACTTTCTGCACTGTCCCCTCCCTAATGAGTTAAAAACTTGCTGCTAGCTAACCACAGTTATACTTCAATGAATAAATCATTTGGGAATTACATTCTTTTTTTTTTTTTAATTTTAACTCCCCTTAATGTCATTCTCAAGGAATTACAGTCTTTCTAATGAAGTTAACAATGTCAAAAACAAATGAAAACTGCTGTAATAATTACAGCACAATGACAGGTAACTTCGTCCTAAATGCTTCACATGCACATTACATATGGCAAGAAATAACCTCTGCAGTTGGCTTCCATGGTAAATGGGGCAGACCTTAGGTAAAACTGAATTTGGAAAAGTTTTCTTTTTGTTGTTTAATGCCCATAATCATTCCATCTTTCCTTGACAAATTCACTTTTCTTCAGAGCTACAGAAGAAAACGTAGTCTCTGTTCCCAAAGATACATAATGTTGTTGGAGTAGACCAAAATAACTAGTTTCATGCTTTTGTATATTCTGTGATGGTATGAGTTTTTTTATTGACTGATGGTAGTGACAGTTTGCAGAATCGTCTCAGTATGTAACTATGTCCTGTAGACATGCTTGCGAATTGCTCACTCTAGCTTTCTCTCTTGTTCTTTTGACAGAGTTAAATTAGAAGAGAGAGGAGTTGCTGAGAATTCTATAGTAGTTAGTAATGGTGACAGTACTCATTTATCAGCTAGAAAAGCAAAGAAGCGGGCATTTAAGTTAGAGGAGGATGAAGAAATTGAACTAGGTTACAAATATTCAAAGACGCATTGGAAGAGGCAAGAGAACAATAGCAATAATGAGAAGGCCTTGGATCTGGAGCCAAAAGCTATCACAGATCAGACTGTGAGGAAAAAGAATAAGAGAAAAAACAAAGCAACATGTGGTGTAGTGGATGATGGTGACGAAGAAACCAAAAGAAAATCACCAAAGAAAAAGGAGAAATGTGAATATAAAAAAAAGACAAAGAATCCCAAGTCTCCAAAAGCGCAGGCAGTAAAAGAGCAGACCATCCAGAGCTGTAGTCCTCCAAAAGGTTCTGCTAGAAACAGCCTTGCTAAAGTCAGAAAGAAAGGTGGTGTAGGCGTTTGTTCGAAAGATAGTCCCAGTTCCTCCTCGGAGTCTGAGTCTTCTCATGAATCCACCAGTGATGGTCTCAGCAATGCCACTTTGCAGGTCAGAAATTCCTCAGAGAAAGTATCAGGTGAATTATCAAAGGAAGGACCCTCCACAAAAAACCCAGCCGCAAACAAACCGGCTGCAAAAGCTGGCATTAACCTCACCCCCACCAAGGACAAGACCTCATCATCTTCTAGTTCAGACTCTAATTCAGAGTCAGATGACCAATGCATGATATCAAAGACCACCCCGGAGCGTGCTGCGAGTTTCTTAAAGACCATAGGCCTCTTTGCAGGAAGAGGTTGTCCAGGTCCAGGGCCATCATCACAGTCTCCAAGTGCTGCTGGGTGGAAGCATTCTGACTCAAACAGTGGCAGACAGGCTCCTGGTCCTCCTCCCAACGTGTCTCTCCCCCCTAATTTAGGAAGAGGATGGGGTAGAGGAGAGGACCTTCTCTCTTGGAAGGGAGCTAGGGGTCGGGGCATGCGTGGGAGAGGGCGAGGGCGAGGGCGAGGGCAGGCTGTTTCTAGTCTTTTAAATAGAAACGCTGAATACCAGAAGCAGCAGCAGTTAAATGAAACAATAACAAACTCATCTACTATTATCCAGGTTAGTATTTACTGTGAGTTTACCTTCTCCCTTTTCCCCCTGGAGTGTATCTGCCGTTCATGTCATGGGTTCATATTTTCTCACCAGTAACAGAGTCACATGATTAATACTGTTTTTCAGAATCCAATAGAGACACACAAGAAAGACTATACTCTGTTACCGCTGCTGGCAGCTGCCCCTCAAGTTGGAGAAAAGATTGCATTTAAGGTATTTTTTAAAACAGCAACTATTACAACAAAAAAAGTTAATTCCCCTTTCAAATAAACTTACTTGGCAGGTCAGGTTACATATACTTATAATATATTTAAATATATATGTCACAGGTTTGTGGTAGGGCACCCAGACTGGTGGCATGGGCACCACCCCAACACCACACGTTTTCTCAGGGTAGGAGGGAAGAGCATATGATATGGGAATGTGAGAATATGAAACGGCTTGTGTACTTGTGGGTTTTTTCTTTTTTAGCTTTTGGAACTAACATCTGATTACTCTCCTGATGTCTCTGACTATAAGGTAAGGCTGTTTATTTAAAAATAATTAAGTTGTCAGTATATTAATAAAACTAAAGTCATATTTAATACTACTTCTATAGATAATGTAGATTTCTTTGAGTAAATAATGTTATCAAGTAGAAAATGAAAACATTATCAAAATGTAAACTTTTTAATAGTATCAGTGAAGTCTCCCAGTGTTATTTTCCTTATACTTGGGAAGAACATAGAATGAGAATGGTGAGTTTAATTCTTTTAGTCACTGTTTTCTAATCAGCTTAGACACACAAATTTATTTGGGTGTCTATTCTCTCATGATCCTAAACTTTGAAAGAAAATAATAAATAGCTCTCAGCCAGAAAATTTGATTGTTTTCATCATGGGAATCTATTTTTTATATTTGTGAATTACTTCTGGTTATTATGGCCTACTATGGTTTCTTTTGCATTATCAGTTAACCACAGGTGTTCACAAATATCATCCTCGAATTTTACTCACTTGATATCTGTAAGACTTTATGTAGTTCAGTAAAAGCTGAACTCAATTAGTGGGATCACAGAATTACATGTTTCCTTCCCTTTTTCACCAAGCAAAATTTTGTTGAAGATCCAGTTAAAATGCATACTTTCTTTTTTCAATGTAATATATCGAATGGAATATAAGTCCATTTTTTAAGGTAGTAATTGGTAATAGTAATATAGATACTGTACAAGGGAATTTGATTTAATCCGTTTAATGCCTTGGAAGACTTCTAAAGTCTTGGTAAAAACCTTTCCTCAAAAGCAGGCTAGAAGAAGAATCAATTTGACAAAGGGATCTGGTGTATTAGTTCTGGGTAATTGGTGTTTTATGTTTTTCATCTTCTTAGCCACTTAATGTCTCCTATGGATGAGGTGACCATATAATTTATCATCTAAATCAGGATACTTGTGAGTGAAAAGGGGTGCTATTAATAATTATGCTGGAAGGAAAGACATGTACAGACCTGTCTTGTCTTGAACAAACCATGATGTTTTGTCACCCTGCCATAGATAACTAATTTAATTGTGTGATATGTAGCAAATGGAAATGAATATTGACTTGATATATCCCACAACCTCTACAAATTGTAATTCTAGATGATAGTGATTTTTTAAATGTAAATTATATTGGTGTTAGTCATCATAGTTATTACCTTGGAAGGCTATTTGCTTACTTTAGTTCATGATATTTTTTGGAGATTTTTGAAATTGTTTTCAAAACTATTTTGAGAAGGAAAATCAGTCCCACTTTTTTGCTTTGACCTCGAATGATGTTATTCAGCTTGATCATCTGCTTTATTTGTTAAACTTGTCTTCACAAGTTAACTCTGTCATCAAAAATGTGGTGTCCCAGCCCCCTGATTCCTGTTGAATCTGGTCTTAAAAAAACTGTTGACTGTGCTCAGAAATTTTGGGTAGAAGCTGAAGGGAGTGACTGTTTGGGCTCACTGGATGCCCCCAAAGGCTACCCACCTGTCTCTCCGTCACCCACGTGGACGGGGCAGTGCTTCCTGTCGATGCTTCCTCCGAATACTGGAGACCTGGGAGGAAGGGAATTGTAATCTCACCAGTGACAAAGTGCCTTGCCGTTTCTGCTTGAGGGTTGACACCCTTCTAGAAGGGCTCTAAAAGCATTAGGAGCCGAAGCAGAGTACACTAGTGGTAACCTAGTATACTCTTTACTTCTCTTCGAGTTCTTTAGGTCAGTGTCTCCCATTTTTGATTTAATTGTATCTATTATATTTTGCCCCTGAGGATATTTCTGTATATTCAGATAGAGTGTTAATCAGTTCACCTGTTTGTTTTTATTTCCTTTACATGTTTATTTATTTTTAAATCTTTTTATGGAGATAAAATCCACGTAACATAAAATTCATTATTTTAACCATTTTGAAGTCTACAGTTCAATGGGTTTTTAGTATGTTCACAATATTTTACATGTTGATTTTTGACTTGGACTTTTATTTTCGAAAGGAAGGAAAAATATTAAGCCACAATCCAGAGACCCAGCAAGTAGACATAGAAATTCTTTCATCCTTACCTGGTGAGTCTTTGGAAAAGAGTTTGAAAATTTAAGTTCTTTCTGTCTACAGTGATTTTTAAATAGCTTTTATACACAGAAGGTGTTCTCTTTGTTGGCCTCCACGATTGTCTGGCGATCTCCACTACCTAGTTCAGCACACTGCAGCCCTGGGGCCTGTGCGCCTGCTGGTTGATTTGTTCCAAAGCTGTTGGGCTAGTTGTCCTTATTACTGTAATTATGTGATTTCATAAAAGATTATATGGACTGATGAAAATTCATCAAAGAGAATTATTCCAGGAAGCCAGACCTAGTCTCTACTAAAAATAGAAAAATTGGCTGGGCAGGTGTCTTGGCATGCACCTGTATTCCCAGCTATTCGGGAGGCTGAGGCAGGAGGATCGCTTGAGCCCAGGAGTTTGAGGTTGCTGTGAGCTAAGATGATGCCACTGCACTCTACCCACGGCAACAGAGCAAGATGTCTTAAAAAACAAAACAAAACACAAAGTCAAAACT